ATAAATTTTTATAGAAAAATTTGTTATCGATAATAAATTTTTATAGAAAATTTGTTATCGATAATAAATTTTTAGAGAAAGTTTGTTATCGATGATAAATTTTTATAGAAAATTTGTTATCGATAATACATTTTTATAGAAAATTTGTTATCGATAATAAATTTTTATAGAAAATTTGATATCGATCATAAATTTGTATAGAAAATTTGTTATCGATAAAAATTTTTATAGAAAATGTGTTATCGATAATAAGTTTTTATAGAAAATATGTTATCGATAATAAATTTTCATAAAAAATTTGTTATCGATAATAAATTTTCATAAAAAATTTGATATCGATATTAAATTTTCACAGGAAATTTGTTATCGATAATGAATTTAAAAACTGAATTGTTATCGTGCATTTTTTATAGGGAAATTTTTATGGGCATTTTCTTACCGAAACCCACCCTAATGTCTCCCATCATGTTCGATGTCGTTATAATTGTTGTCTTACTTTTCTGCAACTTTTGTCAATTGATTTGTGGCATAACGTGTTTTTTTCTTTCTTTAGTTTGTCTCATTGCGTTTTAGCTTTAATTGTCATCGATTTGCGGAGAATGCAGTAGGCGACTCGGTCGCCAATCGTTCGACAGCGAGGCGATTGTTTTGAAATCACAATTTTCGCTGTTGAGGTTTTCGGGAGACTACAAGTTTTTCGAGCTATGCCAAACAGGTTGCTGCAGTAACAGAGGTCTGTTTAACCCTGACTCCCGCTATACAAATAGAAAACACGTGATCCAAAATTGTTGTAATTGTTGTTGCGGTTGTTGTTATAATATTGGCGATCGATTAGGTCTATGATCTTCAATCAATTGTAATGTCAATGTCCAATAAAAATATGCGCAACGTCCATTCAATTGACGAAAATATGAAGGTGGGTAGGTAGGTATTTTCCTAGGCGCACACCCCTCTCTGGACAATCAAAATATAACGGATGTGGAGATCTTCTATGGAGGTTATTTTAGTTTTGCGAAAACGTAATGTGAACATTTTAGGACGTACGTCAGCAAAACAATCAATGGCTCTGCTTGTTCGTGTTTTTGTTTATTCGATGCGATCCGCTGTTTGCTAATTTTAACAGGCAAATATGAAATACCAGCTAATAATGCATTTTGACACCAGAAAACCGAATGACACCTGTTTTGATTCCAGGAACCATATATTGGGGTATATCGATAAAAAAAATTCGAATTTCCTAAAGACAACTTATTATCGATAACAAATTTCTCAAAGAAAATTTACTATAGACATCAATAAAAAATCTCATAAAAAATTTAATATCGATAAAAAAATTCCAAAGAAAATTTACTATCGATAAAAAAAGTTGTAAAGAAAAAGATTTCATAAGGAAATTTTCTCTAAGGAAAATCATCGTTTATCGATAAATTTTCTATAATGAAAATTATCGATTACATTTTTGCTATATAATTACTATCTTGTTTTTGTAAAATAGTCAGGCTTAATCCCAGTTTGTTGTTTTTATAAAAAACAACTATTTATTAGTGGGGAATGTATGGCATTGTCCGCCGAGGGTATCGATACTATCGATATCGATAAAAATTTCCTAAACTAAATTTACCGTCGATATCGATAAAAATTTCTTAAAGAAAATTTACTATCGATATCGATAAAAATTTACTATCGGCATCGACAAAAATTTCCTATAGAAATTTACTATCGACATCGATAAAAATTTCCTATAGAAATTTACTATCGATAAAAATTTCCTATATAAATTTACTATCGATAAAAAATTCCTATAGAAATTTACTAAATTTTCTATAAGGATCGATATTGATAGATTTTCTATAAGCCATATTACCGCTATCGAAAAATTTTTTATATAAAAAATTATCGATATCGATAATTTTTTTATAAGAACAATTATAGCTATCGATAAATTTTCTATAAGAAAAATTATCGCTATCGATAAATTTTCTATAAGAAAAATTATCGCTATCGATAAATGTTCTATAAGAAAAATTATCGTTATCGATAACTGTTCTATATTATCGTTATCGATAAATTTTGTATAAGAAAAATTATCGCTAACGATAAATTTTCGATAAGAAAAATTATCGCTATCGATAAATTTTCGATAAGAAAAATTATCGCTATCGATAAATTTTCTATAAGAAAAATTATCGCTATCGATAAATTTTCTATAAGAAAAATTATCGCTATCGATAAATTTTCTATAAGAAAAATTATCGCTATCGATAAATTTTCTATAAGAAAAATTATCGCTATCGAAAAATTTTCTATAAGAAAAATGATCGCCATCGATAAATACACTATAAGAAAAATGATCGCTATCGATAAATTTTGTTTATTTTGATAATTATTGGTAAAAAATATCCTTCGATAATTTCGATTACTTGTGTCATATTAAAAAGTGTTTGTCCGTCCACTTCCAACTCCATTCCATTACATCACTCATAATAATGAGCGCTTAAAAATGCAATCCCTACACCACTGAACGGAACAATCCCGCACAATTAAGATGCATTATCTAGTCATGCGGAGTCGCGTAATTTTCACATAAATTTCGGACCTATTTGTAAAGAAATGCGCCGTTTGTTTGTTTTTGTTTCGAAGCAGACACGCACGACCTTCTTTTTTAGCTGGACAATTGAATTGGGGGGAGTGGGAGGGAGTTGACGTGACATGTGTTCACTTGTTGTTGCCAATTTTGTTTTCGCACACCACCTACTTAAAAAATTGTATTCACGTTTTGTTGAAATGTTTTTTTCATCAACATTTTATTTTTTGTTTTCTCTCTGCGGATTTTCTGTTGCTTTTACGATTTTTTAATATATATTTTTTTCAATTTAAAATAACGAAATATTCTCCAAGATATGCAGGGTATGTCTTTTGTTAACAATTCTCAAAACGACCGTTAATATCGACTGCCGGTTAACAACTGACCACCGATCGATCTCCTAACAAAATATAGTAACGGTATGCCAGCCATTGCGTTTCTCTTTCTCTCATTGCAACAATGTGTCTCAGCGTTGATGTTGGAGAGAGGTATGCAAGCAAAATTTCAGCTGTTTGAATGGATTTGCATGTATTGGTAATTTGTATAAATTTTGCGGCGAATTCAGCTTCTAGAGAAAATTCTTTTGACATTTTCTATAGACATTTTTACCCGATAAAGACATTAAATTTCCTATGGGATAGTAAATGTCCTATAGGAATTTGTATATTGTATTCAATAATATAAAATTAAAGTTATATACATGTATATACATATTTACATATCTACACCATCTAAACACATTTTCCCTTTGAGGCATTTAAAAGCATTAATGCTCTATTTTGTTTTGTTTCTCCCTTCCAAATGGTCCATTTTCTTTTCTGTTGCTTTTGAGAGAAGTCATTACAACTGACAACACTTAGCAACACATTTTCTGATATCCTTTTCCCCTAAAACATTCACACGCACACACACACGCATAGATAAACAAATATTAGTACTGACACACTATCTGGTAAACAATGGTTGAATGTATCTGTGTGTGTGGGTGTATGTAACTACTCAAACATCATCTCATCCATCCATCCATCTGTCATATTTAGTTGATGGAACATCCATATGTGAGAGGAGTCTGTCTCATATCCGGTTTCCGTTTGTGTTTCCTTTGTAAATGTTTCAAAGCTATGTTGGCAGAGGAGTGGGAGATGTAACAAAGCTTTCGGGGGGAAAATGCTGTAGACTATTGTTCATTTTATACACTTTGATATGCAGGAATATTTATTTGCAAAAATAAATATGTTTTAAAATATTTAAAGTTTTAAAATTTTAATAAAAATTAAAATAATTTCCTACACGAAAATTTGCTATCGATAAATTATCAATAAGAAAAAAATAATCCATATCGATAAATTTTCTATAAGAAAAATTATCGCTGTCAATAAATTTTCTATAAGAAAAATTATCGATAAATTTTCTATAAGAAAAATTATCGATAAATTTTCTATAAGAAAAATTATCGATAAATTTTCTATAAGAAAAATTATCGCTATCGAAAAATTTTCTATAAAGAAAATTAACGCTATCGATAAATTTTCTATATAGAAATTTACCGCTATCAATAAATTATCTATAAAGAAGATTATCGCTATTGATAAATTTTCTATAAAGCAAATTATTGCTATCGATAAATTTTCTATAAAGAAAATTATTGCTATCGATAAATATTCTATAAAGAAATTATCGATATCGAAAAATATAGTACAAAGAAATTTATCGCTATCCATAAATTTTCTATAAAAGAAATGATCACTATCGATAAATTTTCTATGAAGAAAAATTATCGCTATCGATAAATTTTCTATAAAGAAATTTATCGCTATCGATAAATTTTCTATAAAGAAATTTATCGCTATCGATAACGTTTCTATAAAGAAATTTATCGCTATCGTTAATTTTTCTATAAAGAACTTTATCGCTATCGATAATTTTTTTATAAAGAAATTGATCGCTATCGATAAATTTTTTATAAAGAAATTTATCGCTTTCGATAAATTTTTTATAAAGAAATTTATCGCTATCGATAAATTTTCTGTAAAGAAAGTTATCGCTATCGATAAATTTTATTTAAAGAAAATTATCGCTTTCGATAAATGTTCTATAAAGAAATTGCCTATAAATTTATTATCGCTATCGATAAATTCTCTATTAAAATTTTCAAAACATTTTTTTCTTTTTGTTTTCATTCTGTCTGACCTTTAACATATTTCGAAAAATTGTCGACAATGCCGTGCCATCATGGCCGGCGACAGCCGCAATTTAAAGTTTACGAACAATTTCATACGTGTTCAGGGACAGGCAATTTCCGTTTCCTTTATAACTTTCATAAATCTAGCCTCCATCGTTTGTTCAGCCAAGCGAAAAAACAAAAGAGAACAAAAAATGGCAAACGAGAGAGAGAGTGTGTGGAGAGAGTACTTACCTCCTCGACCGCATCACATTCAAAAAGATAAATGTGCAGCAAGGGATCCTTCGGCTCCTTCATCAGATAGACTAAACCCGTTATGGGTCCGGTAAATTCCATAAAATTATTCGGTACTCCATTGTCAGCGGCATCGTTGGCTTGCTGTTGTTGCTGTTGTTGTTGTTGTTGGTATGAGGCGGCCGCACTTGATGACAACGACCCATACGAAGTGGAAGTTTTTAGGGATGACTTGAAACCATTACTTGTGGACGATGACGAGGGCAGACCATTGCCGCCGACAATGCCATTTGTTTGTTGATGTTGTTGTTGTGGCGTTTTGATTTGCATGAAGCCATTGCCCACCTGCTTGCCACCCTGTTTGTGGACAATGCGACACATTCCGACAATGTGTTTGAGTGGATGACTGAATTGCAGTTCAAAGTCAGAATTGTACGATTCGAGATTGCCATTTTCAATGCCAACGGAAAGCTGTAAAGAGAAGCGAAGAGAATAAAGAAGAAAGTTAAAAAAGAAGTAATCTTAAGTTGACAGGAAAGGAGTGGGGGAACATAAAATTGAGTGGCAAAGAAAGGTAATTTTGTTTTTAGATAAGAATATTTTTGTTCAAGCAAGCTATAAGAGTGTGGACTTCTTAAGAATTCTTTTTTTCCCAAGGACTATCAGGGTGTGGAGATCCTAGGGAATATTTTGTTCAAAGTACTCTCAGAGATTTAACAAAATATATTTTTCAAAGGTATCTCAGAGTGGGGAATTCCATAAGCATTCATGTTTTTATGGTCAAGAGTAGGGTCAATTATGAGCCCTATAACGCCATTTTACTATACTGGGTATTAATGGAAAATATATTCTATACTTAATTTTACTAGAATTCACCAGCCACAAGAAATCGGTATATATAATATATGGCTTCACAATATCGGTCCATAAGTTGGATACAAATACAAAAAAAAATCAAATTTATCTCTTATCGGATTGTGTCTATTATGCCCCGCTTTACTTCATTTTAGTACCTTGATGTCAACGGAAAAAATGTTCTGCTCTAAATTTCAATATATGTCATCGACCACAAGAAATCGGTATATATAACATCAACCTCAACAATATCGCTCCAAAAGTGTATTTATGAACAAAAAATTGTTTATGAGCTCAACATTTGTCTTTTTTCGAGTCAAGACAAATATGTCCTCTTTAGCTTCATTTTGGTGACTTGGTATCAATGGAAAAAATATTCTCCACTAAATTTCACTATAAGTCACCGACCACAAGAAATCGGTATATATAACATAATCCTCAACAATATCGGTTCAAAAGTAGATATATAAACAAAAAGTAGTTTCTTTGCTCGCAACTCGTCCTTTTCCGAATCGGTGGAAATTTGACCTCTTTTGCTTCACTTCAGTGACTTGGTATCAATGGAAAAAATATTCTCCATCAAATTTCACTATGAGTCGCCGATAACAAGAAATCGGTATATATAATATATACCTTGATAAAATAGGTAAACAATATGGGCTGAGAAAAAAAAACAACTTTTTTAAATTAGTTTTTTTCGAGACGGGGTCGATATGACCTCTTCTGGCTCACCTGAGGACCTTTCTGTCAATGGAAAATATATTCTTCACTAAATTTCACTATACGTCTCCGACAACAAGAAATCGGTATATAAACATACACCTCAACAAAATCGGTCCAAATGTGGATCTATAAACAAAATTTCATTTTTTGCTCAAAATACGTCTTTTTTTCTAATGGGACCAAATATGTCCCTCTTTCCTTAATTTTAGGGATACGATGTCAATGGGAAAAATATTCTCCACTAAATTTCACTATAAGTCACTGACCACAAGAAATCCGTAATTTTAATATATACCTTGACAAAATCGGTTAACAATATAGGTTAATAAAAAAAAAACAACTTTTTCCATTTTAAAATTAGTTTTTTTTTGAGACGGGACCGATATGACCCCTTTTGGTTCACTTGAGGACCTTGGTGTCAATGCGTCAAATATTCTCCATCAAATTTCACTATGAGCCACCGAGCACACGAAATCGGTATATTTGATACATACCACAAAAAATATCGTTTCAAACTTGTATATATACAAAAAAAAGTACATCTTTGCTAAAAATTCGTCTTTTTTCGAGTCGAGACAAATTTGCGCACTATTACTTCATTTTAGGGAGTTCGTATCAATGGGAAAATATTCTCCTTGGAATTTCAATATAAGACTCCGAATACAAGAAATCGTTATATATATGGTATACCTTGAAAACATCGTTACAAAAGTTGATATAAGAATTTATATAAAAAAAATAGTTACTATGCTTAAATTCGCCTTTTTTGATTCAGGGCTAATATAGTCCAATTTTATTCACGTTAGTGACTTGATGTCAATGGAAAAAATATTTCCCATCAAAATCTGCTATGGGTTGCCGAACACAAGAAATTGGTATTAATAATATAAACCTCAAAAATATCGTTCTAAATTTGGATATATGAACAAAATGTATTTCTCATTGTCAAATTCGCCTTTTTCATATCAGGGCAAATATGACCCATTTTACTTTACTTTAGGGACTTGGTCTTAATGGAAAAAATATTCCCCATCAAAATCCGTTAGGAGTCACCGACCACAAGAAACCTATATATAATGTATATCTTGATAAAATTGATATATAAACAAAAAATAGTTGCTAAGCTTAAATACGCCTTTTTTCATTCAGGGTATATATGTTCAAATTTGCTTCACTTTAGTGGGTTGAAAAACAGAAAAAATATTCTCCACCAAAATCCGCTATGGGTTGCCGAACACACGAAATCGGTATATATAGTATAAACCTCTAAAATATCGTTCTAAATTTGGATATATGAACAAAATTTATTTCTCATTGCTCAAATTCGCCTTTTCCAAATCGGGACAAATATCGACCATTTTACTTTACTTTAGGGACTTTGCCTCAATGGGAAAAATATTCTCCATCAAAATCCGCTATGAGTCACCGACCACAAGAAATTGGTATATGCAATAAAAATCTCAACAATATCGGTCCAAAAATGGATATATGAATAAAAAGTTATTTCTTTGCTCAAAGTTCGCTTTTTTCGAGTGGAGGCAAATATGACCCACTTCGCTTCACTTTAGGATCTTGTTGTCAATGAAAAAAATATTCTCCACCGAATTTTACTAAAAGTCACCGACCACAAGAAGTCGGTATATAAAACATAAACACCAAAAATGTAGACACAAACGAGAATATAAGAACAGCAAAATTATTTCTTGCTCAAAGTTCGCTTATATCGAGTCGAGGCAAATATGACCCATTTTGTTTCACTTTAGGATCTTGTTGCCAATGGAAAAATTATTCTCCACCAAATTTTACTATAAATCACCGAACGCAAGAAGTCGGTATATATAATATATACCTTGGTAAAATCGGATAATAATATAGGATGAAAAACCCCTTTCTTTTGTTTCAAAATTCTTCCTTTTTTCGAGACGGCACCCATATAACCCTTGGAGGTTCACTTGAGGACCTTGGTGTCAATGGAAAAAATATTCTCCACCAAATTTTATTATGAGTTACCGACCACAAGAAGTCGATATATATATATATATATAATACCTAAAATAAATATCGGTCCATAGTTGAATAAATAAGTACAAAATTATTTCTTAGCACCACTTGGACATTTTTCGATTTGGCGCAAATTGTGCCCCTCAGCTTCATTTTAGGATCTTGTTGTCAATGGAAAAAATATTCTCCACCAAATTTTACTATAAGTCACCGACCCCAAGAAGTCAGTATATAATATAAACCTTGGAAAAAATCGGATAATAATATAGAATGAAAAAACCCTTTACTTTGTTTTAAAATCCTTACTTTTTTCGAGACGGCACCGATATGATCCTTTGAGGTTCACTTGAGGACCTTGGTGTCAATGGAAAAAATATTCTCCACCAAATTTTACTATAAGTCACCGACCACAAGAAATCGGTATATATAATACATAAAATAAATATCGGCCCTTAGTTGAATAAATAAGTACAAAATTATATTTAGCACCACATCGAAATTTTTCGATTTGGGGCAAATTCTGCCCCTCAGCTTCATTTTAGGAACTTGTTGTCAATAGAAAAGATATTCTCCACAAAATTTGACTATAAGTCACCGACCACAAGAAATCGGTATATATAATATATAGCTTGGTAAAATCGGATAATAATATAGGATGAAAAGAACCCGTTCTTTTATTTTAAAATTCTTACTTTTTTCAGGACGGTACCGATGTGACCCTTTGAGGTTCACTTGAGGACATTGGTATCAATGGAAAAAATATTCTCCACCAAATTTTATTATGAGTTACCGACCACAAGAAATCGATATATATAATAATACCTTAAATAAATATCGGCCCTAAGTTGGATAAATCAATACAAAATTATTTCTTACCACTTCGAAATTTTTCGATTCGGGACAAATTGTACCCCTCAGCTACATTTTAGGAACTTGTTGTCAATAGAAAAAATATTCTTCACAAAATTTTACTATAAGTCATCGACCACAAGAAGTCAGTATATAATATAAACCTTGGCAAAATCGGATAATAATATTGGATGAAAAAATCCTTTATTTTGTTTTAAAATCCTTACTTTTTTTGAGACGACACCGACATGACCCTTTGAGGTTCACTTGAGGACCTTGGTGGCAATGGAAAAAAATATTCTCCACGAAATTTCATTATGAGTTACCGACCACAAGATGTCGATATAAATAATAACACCTAAAATAAATATCGATCGGATAATATAGGATGAAAAAACCCATTCTTTTATTTCAAAATTCTTACTTTTTTCGAGACGGCATCGATGTGACCCATTGAGGTTCACTTGAGGACCTTGGTGTCAACGGAAAAAATATTCTCCACAAAATTTTACTATAAGTCACCGGTCACAAAAATTCGATATATATAATACCTAAAATAAATATCGGTCCATAATTGAATAAATAAGTACAAAATTATTTCTTTGCTCCATTTCGACATTTTTTGATTTGGGGCAGATTTTTCCCCTCCTCTTCATTTTAGGTACTTCTTGTCAATGGAAAAAATATTCTCCACAAAATTTTACCATAAGTCACCGGCCACAAGAAGACGGTATATATAATACACAATATTACAAAATCGTTACGAATTTAGATATATAAACAAAAAATAGTTTCTATGCTCAAATTTGTCTTTTTTCGAGTCGGGGCAAATATGTATCCCTTTGCTTCACATTAGGACCTTGGTGCCAATGGAAAAAATATTCCTCACTTAATTTCGATATAAGTCACCGACCACAAGAAATCGGTATATAAAACATAAAGTATAATATCGTTTCAAAATGGTGATAGACAAACAAAAAATTGTTTCTGTGCTCAAAGGCCCCATTTTTCCGAGTCGAGGCATATAGACCCCTTTTAGACCT